TACATATGTATGTATGGATGTGTATGGAAAAGGAGATGCAAGTAGACACAAATTTTCTTCGTTCTTTCGTCATTTTACAGAAATACAAAATAATTAAAATGCTTTTATTGGTGATAGAAAATGTTCAAAGTTGATGTTTAATATTTTAAAACCGATAAGTTAACTCTTTTTGATAAGTTTTAAGGATGTTGTATAGATTTCTCACATCATTTACGTGATTTTGATATTGTATTTAATTATGTATGTAAATAGTATGCGAAATTTAAGATTTCATTCTTAAACCCTTTCAAAGAAGGACGAGTGTTGGCAAAGTGTGTGCGTGTGTGCGTGTGTGTGTGGGAGCGGCTCAAAAGTGGAACTGCTTGCACACTCGAATGAAATCAAAATCAATGTCAACAACAGTGAAACGCTAGGTCCTCAGGGCAGAGTGAGATGGGTCGGAAAATTCCGTCAAAGGCGTTTTTTCTCCGGCTTTGAAGTGCGCCTTTTACTACACTACTTACAACACGGGCGCGTACTACGGCGTAGTAAATAGAGGCAAAAGCAAATTGCAAAAGAGAGCGAAAGACCAAATCTCTTCCACTCCCCCGAACAAGCCCACTGAGCCACACACATCCACCCACACGGAATACCAGCAGCAAAAACGTCAGTTACTGCAAAAAAGGACAAGGCCTAGGGGGCAGCAGGGTGCGGAGCAGTGGAATCAGCGTAGGCAAAAACACTTTGTGCGCGCGTCAAAGTGTTAAAGAAAGTAAATCGCACACACACACACACATACATACCCATACTAAGAGCTAGAGTGGGGGAGGCAAAGAGAGATGAGAATACAGAAAGCTTTTTTTGTGTGTGCTGTGTACATATTTGATGCGCTTTTTTCGGAAGCGAAGCAGCTCTCTACCGATCTCCTTCCACATTCCACATCTCTCTACTCTCTACTACTATGCCCGTCGACAATTTTAAGTTTTGTCGGTTTATTTTTTATTGCACATTGCTTGAAGCGCGGGCGGGAGGCTGATGTGGCTGATGTGCAGGCAGCCCGGCAGCCAGGCACTTGCTTTGCTGGCGCCCCACTGCATGTTGGAGCACTCGGGACTCCGACAACTCCAGTCCGGAGGACCCCTGGCTTATCTTTCAACCAAACACTCCACCGTCCACTCTCAAAGCTGAACGATACTCGTGCCTTTGTCCATTTGCCATTTGCCATTTTCCATATTAACTTTACCAACGGGAATGAGCCAACTTTTCTGTTCCTCCGGCACCAACCAGCTCCCGCTCCACTTGACAAAGGCGCTTTGTGGCCAGCCTTATTATAGACTTCGACGCTGTGCCCGGCAAAGGCCTCCCCCAAAATTTGTGTGCTTGGGTCAATGCTTTGTGAATTTGAAATGTGCAGAGGCAAGCCAGAAGCAGAAGAATACTCGGCAGGCAATTACCCGGGAGTCTACTTGTACTATACTATTATAACTACTAAATTATTACTATGCCTCTTTTTTCAGCTCATTAGCGTCGCATCAACTCGAAAAAAGTGGCAGGCAGGGGGTTAAAGAAGGCACTAAATTATGCCCAGTGCAATCAAGTTGAGTGCGTACTACAGTCTAAATAAGTAGTTGTTCTTGTTGTTTATTCATAAAGGCTTCCCGAGCACAGAAATTGTCAGCCAAAGGGCTTTGACAAGAAACAAAAAAATGAGAGGAGAGAGCTTAAGGCAAAGCTGAAGCGGGAAGAGTGTGGTGGGGAGAGGGAAGCAGAAAAGTGCAGTTGAAACCACACACACATACATGCACGTGTACAAAGTCAAACGAAGTGCTCTCTTTGAGAGGTGCGAAAGGGATGGAAAGATGTCAATTTGTTACTCCTTCTGCTGCTGCTTTGGATCTTTTCCCTGTGCGTGTTAATGAACTTGCTTGCGGTGCATCATATGGCTCCCTCACACTCATTCTGACTTGTAGGAAAATTCAAACACTGCCATCAATAGTTATATAGTTATGGAATAATGTATTGTATGTAATGTATATACGCTTACCATTTTTGTACTGTAAAGAATCTGAGACGCCAAAGCACATCAGGAGAAAGCCGATCACAAAGGGTGGACTCCATCCACCACCTCCATAAGTACTAGCATTTGCACATTTTGCCGCTTTCGTTGTATTTTTGATTGTAAGTTGGCACAGTTGGGGTTCGATTTTAGTATGCTTTCTGAATGGCGCACGGGCCATTTTCTTATGGACACAATCTCAGAAATTCCAAGACATTTGGAGTAAAAATAACCGAAACGAACCGATCGTCGTCTCCACGGGTTTTGTTAGGCACAAATAATCATTATCTATAGCACACAAAAGTACTGCAAGAAGGAGAGAGAGAGAACAAGAGGGAACAATTTAAGACCAGACACATCAAAAAAACTTCAGTCGGGGTATTAATTACACTGTGCAGCAAAACCACGCAACGCTTTTGCACGCGGTAATATGTTTATATTTTCGATTTGTTTACATGGACACAGTTATTTATATGTGGTATACATATATTTGCATTTTTGCGATCACAGCGTTGTTTTTTCTGTTGTTTTGTTGCGCAGTGTGATCGCGTTGTACTTGGGATTTTTTTGTTTGTGTGTGTGAGTACTTTGGACAAATTGTTGTTGGCGTAGAGTAGCGGAGTGATAAGCAATTGTGCAACTGTGTAGGTGTCTGTTCTGGTTGCTAAATTGAAATATTGTAAATGATAAGGGAAAGGAGGAGCATTAGTAGTGAGTGCCTTTGACGCAACAAGCCGGCAAATGCAGCAGATTGCAACCCCCAAAGCACGGCGTTTCCTCGCAATGGAAAATATCACGAAAATCAAAACATCGGATGGACGGACCCGCTAGAAAATAAAGCAGCGCAACGCAACGGTTCGGGGGCGCACACAACAAAACATCTTTCAAGCAGGCCATAAATTTAGATGCCCGAATCATGTGGAATTACATTACGCACGTACAAATGTTTGCTTTTGTGTGTGTGTGTGTGTAAGAGGCGAATCGCTGCACTCTTGTTATGTTTTTAGAACCATTTCATGTACAATTTACAAACACAAAACACACCAACTTGCACGCCGCTGCACATTTCCCACAAGGCGGACACTCCACTACACGCCAATTTCAGGTAATTTCTATTAAACACTTTTAATTCAACACTTTTGCATACAATACAGCGGCTTGTCTTGTTCAGCGAACGCGATTCGGCCTGCGAGAAGCCATTTTGTTGGTACTTTATTTTGTAAATATTTTATTTACTTTTCACGATTACACCTTGCGCTGTTTTGTTTGGTGTGCGTCGAACTTTTGATTGCGGCGCAAGGATAAGGGTATGAGGTGTGGAGTATGACGTCACAAAATCCAGAGTTTTCAAGTAAAATACCCACCTCACCACATAACTCACCGTGCGGGATTTTGTGCTTTCACGCAAACATGGTATATTTATTTCGTCGGGGCTAGGGTGAGGTCCTTACGAGGCCCTTACAAAAAGTTTGGCCGTCTTAATACTGGGGCCATACCTTGCCATGACCCAGTCGAGCACCCAGAGAGCACTCAAAACGCTCTCCGGACTCATTTCTGCGTTTAATTGTGAGCCACTATCGATAGTATCGATATTTCGCTGCTATCCTCAACTATCGATGGTTTTGAGACTATCATGATATATCGCTTTTGATATGTTTTTGGATTGGCTGCTCTAAAATACGAAGACAAATTTGTAAACAAATCGACAGGTGGCTTCTAATTTTTACAATGGACAAGTTCCTAATAGGTTTCAATGGTTTTTAAATAATTATTTGAGCCCGATACTATTACGATAGTATCGATTGTTTTTTTCAAAACATTCGACGTTGATATTCCTCGATTTTGATATTCGGTGTAATATTACTAGCTAGCTGGGACTCTCAGCACTACACACATCATTTTATCCGACTCCTCAATACATTTTGTTCAGGATTGCTTAGTTTTCAGAACACTTTTTCATTGGATTGTTTACATAATAAGGTTAAAACAAAAACGGCCAAAGCATAAAACGTAAATTTTGACTAAATGTGACGTCAGTGTTGCTGGTCAACCAAGTTACTTCTATGCGTATGGGCTTTAGTATACCCTACTTCCTCCAAGCTACATTGAAACATTATTTATGATTTTATCCTAGATTGACATGTTTTGTACCTATTAATGCACATGTTTTGTGTTTTATAAATACATTTATCCCGGTTCTGATACCTATTACTAGTACCCGTGAGCTGCAAAAATTCGTTAATGTCTTTAAAAGACAGTAGTTTCTGCATTAATTGGAGCCTGAAATTACAAACAATATCTCAAGCCCGTAATAACCATTTTCCCAAGGTATGAAAATTGTTGCTCATTTCGTGCCAAAGTTGCAGAACAATGCTGCCAATTCATTTCCCCATGCTGTTGAAATTTTTCCCATACAAATCAAATGTATATTACGGGAAAGCGTAACATATGGCTCATTTGGCGGTCATTTTCAAATGTATATTAATATATGGAAAAATAAATATTTCACTTAATTTGTTTTGTCGAGTGTGACTGGAACCTCAGAAACGTCATTTTCAAAATATGCCGTAAATATACCGAGAAAAATTAATGAAATGCTATGGTGAATCCATTTTCCAACACTTGAAAAATCCAACAACCAGTACTCATATTTGCGTTCATAACGATATATATTTTTGTTTGATAGTGACAACGGAATTTTTTCGAATTTGTCTGAAAAACTCGCGATTCTAACTCTGCGGCTACAATTTGATCAAATTTGGGAGTTAAAGCGAGTATAGGACCGTACCGGCACACGTAACAAGCGCTAAGAGTTAATATAAATCCGTCATAAATATAACCAAATAATGGTAATTGTTTAATTTTAAACAATGTACAATATATATGCAAAATGCTAAAAAATCTGCTTAAATCGAAAGAAAATATTAGAAGGATACGAGCACCTTAAGATATATTTAAGAAAGCTCTATTGCTTCTGTTTCAGGCTCTCGTCGCACTTGAACATGGGGCATTGAATATATTAGCTTATTCCAGAAATTGGGGTCATCTCGCTTGAGATACGTGTTGAGCACCATGTAGGTCCGCAGTTCGCTGTCGAGATCATCAAAGTTCTCCACTTCGGGATAGAGGACCACAATCAATCGCTTGCATCGATCCTGGGAGGTGGCGTGTAGAGCGAGTCGGAACTCCAGTCGCCCCCAAGTCGACTGCAGGAAGTTGTTCGTCATCAGGATGATGATGCGCTTCGAGTCCTTGACAGATTGGCTGATGCACTCGGGAATGGACTCGCCCACGAGCCAGTCGCGCAGATAGAAGCAGAGTCTGAAGCAGTGGCCGCCATTCTCCAGTCTCTCCACGAACTCCTCAATGAGCTCCTCGTCCTTGTGGGTGAACGACAGAAATGCATCGAACCTCTTTAGTTTGTCGCATTCCCGTTCGTCGGCCAGGCTGAGGCATACTCTGTGCTCGTATAACCAGATCAGGATTGGCTGTTTGAAGTAAAAGATCAAGTTTATGGTTAGGACCATTAGCATGAACGAAATGGTGAGAGTCACATAGTGAACCAAGCCTGAAGGGCACAAATGACTCTCATCTGTGAGTATCAGCAGCTGGCCCGTGCCACCGCAGTAGATGTCGGATAGGTTTTCCATATGCAGCGAACGAGTCTTCACAAAGTCAAGGAAATCTTTGTCCTCGCAAGTGCAAGTCCACGGATTCCCAGACAAGAATAACTTTAGCTGGGTGGAGGCGGCTATTCTCACATCGAAGAAGACTCTCATCCGATGGCTCAGCAACGAAATGCTATTGTTTCTTATGTCGAGGGTTGTTATATTCTCAGGCAGTTGATCGATCTCAGTTAGTCGATTGTTGGCCAGATAGAGATGGCCTATCCGGGCATATCCGGGCAGGGAATGGGAGGGCAATGCTCCGAGATAATTCCCTTCGAAATGAAGAGTCGATTGTCCAGATATTGGTATGGGTAGTTCTGGTATTTCTGTGAGTCCTTTCAATCTGCAGTCGACAATCAATGAAGGCGAGGTAGAATTGTCCAGACAGCAGATGCAGTCCTCTGGACACGTTCCTGAATATATATTACAACGATCCAGAGCGGCGGAATACTCCAGCGGTTCCCTTTGCCTCAGAAATGAAAGGAAGGCCTTTGCCCTGCAGTCGCATGACCAGGGATTTCCAGATAATTGGACCTCGCGATCTCTCAATAAATCGACCACCTTGTCATCGAGAGCCTCCAACATGTTTTTTCGTAGATCCAAATGTGTGATGTTCTTGGGAATCAAGTGGAATGGCAAGTACGTTATTCTGTTCTCAAACAAATGAAGTTTCTTCAGAGAAGCGTGACCCAATGAGTCTTCAATGCTGCTTATTTTATTCCCATCCAACTGCAGGATGGCATTGTAGGGTATGGAGTGCGCAAGTTGGGGATAATAGTTGATACCAGCATGCCTACAGTCGATCATAAAGTGATCCGTGCTCCGGTTAAAGCAACAATCGCATCCATCGGGACACGGTGCATTCAGATGATGAAGATTTATTGTATCCGCCCACCAGGCGAGATTACCCTTAAGAGATCGAAGGTAAATTTTGTGCAGAAACTGCATCAGATTATGGTCGTCGCAATGGACGATCCATTGGTTGCCGCACTGCAGGAAATCCGCAAGATTCGAGAGATATTCGATCACATCTTTGCCGAGTGTTTGGATGCTGTTGTACCTGATGTCCAGAATATTCAGTTTACTTGGCAGCCGATCAATTCCAAGACTAGTTAATCTATTATTGGACACGATTAAACTGGTTATTTCATTATATCCACTCAATGAATTGATGGGCAGCTCCCTTATATCATTTCCCCTCAAATTCAGAGCCGCATCTCCTCCAGTAATAGGGACTGGCAATGGTGGGACATAGGTAAGTCCACGCTTCGAACAATCGATATGCAAGGTCATATTTCCCCAATAAAATCGACACTGGCATTCAGCGGGGCACTTTCTATCGTTGATTCCGAGGGTGAATTCGCAGTTCCCTCGATTCCTGTTGCAAATTATGGCTGTTATATTCTCAAAGGGTTCGTACTTATTAACCTGAATCAACTTTAACTTGGAGTAACCCTCGAAATATTTCATATCCACCTTTTGATTGACCTCCAGAACAGCATTCACCAAGCTCTTTTGAAGAGTTTCAGATCTAAATTAGAGAAATAATAACAAATAAATAATATTTATATCCCACATATATTTCTAGTGTATTGTATCAATTGGTCTTACCTTAGGAAAGAGAGATCCTCTAAACTGGTCCTGGTAAAATTTAATGTCTGTAAGTTTTTCAAGCCGTTGAATACTTTGGCTGTAAGGTTTTTAATATCTACATTATTAAATTTCAGATCTTTTAAATTTGTTTTGCCTGCAAAAATAGTCTCGTTTATCCAGAGTTCGGAGTATTGGTATGGTCCCCAATAAAAAATTGCAATCCCTTCTAGACGATTCAGGCTCGTTCGAATGTATTCATGAATTATATCGGTAAACGTGTTGACGGCAATCGTAAGATACTTTGATCCATTCAAATAATTTACATTTCTCTCATATATTTCAAAGTGTTGACCGAATAAATTGTATGTCGACACTGCTTGCACCCCAAGATCTCTCAGATAAAATACTCCTGGACGAAGTGGGGAGTTCTTAGACACTCCCACAGTTAACCTCAGTAGCTTGACATTAGTTTCATTGGAAATGGCGACGAAGTTCCCCTCTTTGGTGTCGGTGTCTGCATTATTCCACTCGATTGTCAAGTGTCCCTGGTCCAGGGTCATTGTGTAGTCGTTGGTGATGAAAGATGATCGATCTTTGCGGCACGTTCTGTCACCGGAACTGCTGCTGCATGCATCCTTACAGTATATTTCACAGTAATCCTCTCTGATGCTATTCAAGATGATTTGATCACTCAATGAATTCATTGCCAGGAGCAAGAGCCACGACATTTTTGCATACGAACTGTGCGAACTGTGCCGAAGTACTAACTAAGCAAGCAGTTCCAATTTGTTTCCAAAGAACCCAATCCAAACCAAGCCCCTTTGGTTCCCCATGGGAGTCCAGCAAATAAAATATGTTCATAAATAAAATAAGTTTTATCATGCTCCCAAATGGGCTGTTATAAATCCACTCGAGTATTATAAACGTTTAAGAGCTGCAACGAAGATACAAATAAGAAGAATTCATTCGTTGGCACACTACAAAAGTATTTCGCCCAACGATAAATGATTTGATATATGATTTATGTATATGTCTCTTCATGATTCGAAATTATTCTTAGAATATTGCCTGTGTGGGCGGGCTCTTTTTGTTTGAGCCTGCTTCTTTGCTGGCCGTTATTCTTTTAATTTTCCTATTCCATTGGGCTGCCAGCAGCCCGATTGGCCTGTCCTGCTCTTGTTCTCGAATGAAGCAGGTCTTCTCCGTGCCGGAGTACAATCGATGCCATTAAACCGAAGAGGCGATGGACGCAGCTCAATTTCGTAGCCAACGATAGCTGCCTGGCAGCCCCTGACTGATGTTGTTTGAAGCTAACCGACTCGCATTCGCATTCCAAGGGTTTCAAAATAAAATCGGCTTTATATTTATGTATAACAATGCAGCAGTTGAAAGAAGGCTTAATGGTGCCCAATTCTAATTTTGATTTATTGTTTTATGTATCCTAAATTAAAAGCAACTTAATCAACCTTATTCTAGGTATGGTTGTCCATGAACTGAAGCTCCGACCACAGCAGCAGAGCGTTCGGCGGCAGCGGTCGCGGCTGCGGCGAGAGGAGCATCACGGCTTGCCTTTCCATATCCACCTCGGTGCTGGAAATGGCAGAAAGAAGCGTTAATATTATAAATATCCCATGCGTGGTGTCTCCCATAGGCTTACACGCAACAGAAACCCGCAATATTTGTGCCAATGACATCGTCTTCCACGGACTCGGCAAAAGACAGGGCCAACACGTGATGGATAAGGGCCGGTGTGGGCGTCACAGCCACCACTTTGGTCTTGTTGTCTTCGGCCTTCATGCCGATGGGCATGCAGGAGTCTGGCAGCGGCGGGGCTCCAATCTTGTACAATCGCAGGTCCTGGAATTTCACCTCAAAAGAGAACGGATAGAAGGGTGCACGGGCGTTGCCATAGAAGTATTCCTTGATGCGCTGATCCCGGCACTCGTGTCGCAGCTCCTTGCTGCGCTCCACAACGCCGCCACTCTTGGGCAAGAGCACCACATGAACGCTGGAGGGCACATCCCGCAGCAGTTCGTTGTACAGCCGCTCCTGGTCCAATACGAAAATGGCGCAAGCCCCATAGGCCCTTGCCGCATGGAGCAAGTGCGCATACCCATGGCCCTTCACCCAGCCGCAGGTGTTGACTATGATGCCGGAGCTCTTTGCTGAAAGAGTGCTTACAGAATGCTTGCAGATCCACACGTACTGCATCTACTCACTGCGCTTGTTCCCGTTGAGCGATTGCAGCGTGACCTCGGCCATCTTGGAGACCACGGCGTTGTAGAGGACACTGTTGCCGCTGGGCGACTTGTGACCGAAGTGGTAGACCAGCGGGGCGGTCTTGGGAAATCCTTCCTCGACACTGGCCGGCCTTTCGATGAGTATGGTGGCCACGTTGCCGGATATGGCAATTGCGCCCTGGCCCACATCGAGGTCCGCGTAGAGGGGCCGTCGACCGACTCTGACTGCATAGTTGAGGAGAATCCGGCAGAGCGTGCTCTTGCCGACATCCGTGGGGCCCACTACCATTGCCACCGGACCACGCCGATCCTTCTCCTCGGCCTCCATGCGAAACTGTTCCAGTGCCGCGTGACAATTGACGTACTGGACCATCGGCGTCTCCTTGGATATGTAGCACACGTCCATTTTGCCAGTGACATGGAGAACGCATCCTTGGTATGTGAAAATCGCCACCTTGGCGCCCATCCCGAACTCGTATTTCTTTTTCTTCACCAACTCGGTGCCAAAGAGCTCCGCAAACCCATTGACCAGCTACAATGAAAGAGGAGTTACTACCATTCCATTGTCTTGGCGTGATCTTACCCACTGTAACAACAACTTTGGCGTCCTTCTGCTCTATTTCGAAACGCAGCTCGGAGTCTCCCTCCAGGCTGTAGTCTTGACCTCTGCTTTGATGATCCGACATTCTAAAAATTGCAACAAATATTGCAATAAACAAAACAAACAATTTACAAATTCCGCCTGGTGGAAATCAGCTGGGCCCTTAGTGTTGTAAAAGGCGTGAGGGCGATGTATTTTCATGCATTTCAAATACGGTCTCACTTGTAGAAAAAAACGCGGGAAGCATTTTAAACGAAGCGAAGCGTTTTTTTCTTGCAAAACAAACAAACAAACAAACCATTTGATTAATATTTGTACGCAATTTAGATTTGCGACGTCCAACTTTGACAACTATAATGCGACCACCGGCAAAAAACACCGGCGGTCGCCGTGCAAGCAATGTTCCAAAGCCAACATTGGGGGACTCGGACACAGACACGGAGAATGACAGCACCGCATTCCAATCGCCCGACGATGAAAATGCCACCGACTACGGCTTGGAGTTTACCACTAGCCGTCTCAATCTCCAAGATTCGAACAATCGGCGCACCTCGACGCTGCGCAAAGACACATCTGCTGCTGCCCGTCGGGCTCGAGAGAATGAGGAGTCATCTGACGAAGAGAATCGCCCACCAGAACCAGCAGTACGGCCGGGACACAACACCTCAAATCGCAGTCTTCGTTCAGCAAATCCTCCACCGCCGCAGCAATCCAGACCCACTCGACAGGCGCAGCAGGCAAGAGCCACTGGAGCGCCGCGCCGGAAACAGACCAGACCCGTAAGCCGGGCCCTCCAGATGCAACGAGAGATAAAACGTCTGCAGTCGTTGCCCTCATTGCTGATACCCCGCCTTCCGTTTGCTCGCCTGGTGCGTGAGTTGATCATGAATTTCACTGGCTCAACATCGCCCTTCAAGGTCACCACGGGCTCCTTGGAGGCTCTACAGACGGCAGCTGAAATGTACATCACCCAACGCTTCCAAGACGCCTATCTGCTCACCCTGCATCGCAGTCGAGTGACGCTGGAGGTACGCGATATGGCGCTTATGGCATTCCTGTGTGGCCAGGGGCGAATTAACTAAACGTATTGTATTTGTATTGTTTAAGGATAGTTTAAGAAATCCTGTAATATATAACAAGTGAATTGTGTTCTTTTATTCTTTTTAAATAAATGAAAATTGTTTTGTTTAGCCTTAAATTGAAATGAAAAATTGTTTTGTTTAGCCTTAAATTGACAGTCGGGTTTAATTTGTATTCTGCAATTTGGTTTTATTTGCGGTTTTTCTCTTTGCCTTCTATAATGTCTTCTTGTCTTCCTAATTGCATTGCGTCTTGTACAGCATACAACATAATCCATAATAGTTTCACTATAAAGATGCGGCCATCAGGCGGCACGCGCCGCCACGACCACGCCAAGCAAAGATACAATAAGTTTTCAGCTAGGATGCGTTAGAAGTTTGATCGTGCTTAGTTGATCGCTCTAAGAATACGGATTACAAATCAGGATAGTTAATGCGCTTTTTGAAATGAGTCACCATTTAGAATGTTGCGGCAAATCGTCGGATACACTAATGGGGAGCAGCCGTAGCTCGACTCGGAACAGTTTCAGGCCAGGCTGAAAGTAACCCCTGTTTGTTGGGATCTTAAACGTAAATTGAGCTTTTGCCTTGCCAAAAGATGTGTTGGTTTCGGTCTAGGTTGGTTCTAGTTCTCCTACATTGTTCTTCCTACATTTCTTTTTGGCATTCGTCTTTTGCACAAGAGTAAAAATACTGCCATCCAGAATCTAGATGTATTACAACTTACACAATTATACAAAATATATATGTATTTAGCCATAGCCATATATATAATTGATATAGGATCCTCCGATCCTCCTCCTAGGAGTCGACTCTCATTTGCTACAACAGTGGGTTGTAAACTGTTTTTCTTAAAACTTAAGAGCAACATTTTGCTTTGCCTTTTCGCTACATCGTTCCTTCCTGTTTGGTTTTTTCTTTTTCTTTTAACACTGACGGTAAATTTTGTTGGGTTGCGTTTACGGTTTGTATTACTTTCTTCTTGCCTCTCCTTGCCGCCTCTCTCCTCTCTTTCTTCTCCTCCTAATCAGCCAACTCTAACGACGTAAAATTATAAAAGGAAACTAATTAATTTAATGGGAAACCGTTTCCGTTTCGGCTTCGGTTGCAGCCCAGAGCAGAGCCCTTCTTCGACCAGGATTCAGGGCGCTTAATGAGGTTTGCTCTTGGACTTTCGATGCGCAGTGCCGCCATTTTTGTCGGCACTGCTGCCAAAGCTGCTTTGACTGCTGACCGAAGCGGTGACCGGATGTGGTGCCCCTCCCTTGGGGTTATAGGGTATCCTGAAGAGATTGATACGCAGATGCTGGCAGATCTCCAGGCACACCTGCGAGCAGTAGCGCAGCAGATCCTGTATACCCCAGAGGAGCGTGAACCAGAGCAGCCAGATCTCCGGCACAATGCAGTTGAAGTATTGATTGAGGAACAGTAGCGCGGGACCGAGTAGCGACCAGTCCAGATACTCCATCTCTGCCTTGGTCATGTGTGCGATCTGTAAGAGGAATAAATCCATTCCATTAAGTGAGCTACGCTTAGTGTCTGCTATGAACTTACCACCAACTTGTTGGTTATTTTAGCTGCCACCATGCCAAAGGCCATTATGTACACAGATGCATGCTCGGTGAATAGGTTCTCCGGCGATTTCTGGGCAATAATCAGAGCTGGTAGCACCACCAGCGTGAGGGGTATGCTGGGTGACAGCACACTGGTACCCTAAAGCGTGGTAAAAATTGTTTTCAATTAGTTTTGGATGGTTTATCGATTTGCAATATTTACAAGTTGCGGCGTTTTTGCCACACACGAATTGACACTTGATCACGGGAGTGTACAGTTGTGGGCACAATTATTACAAGTCGATACACCGATAGGTTCTAGACTGTGTCTGTGTGGGTGTGTGTAAAACGGCACATTTTGCAAATATCACAACAATTATCAGTGCAAGGAAAGAGAACAAAAATTCTTTTGGCTTATTTGGAGTTCAGCATTTTCCCCTCCACAGAAATAGCGATCATAGTAGGGGAAATTGCTCTTATTGTTTTCTTTTTGTGTTTGTTTAATACTTGTTTTATTTACATGGTCTAGCGCTAGATGGCGGTTGTGTGGGTGGGTTGGTTTGTGGGTGGGTGGGATTTGTGGGTGTGTTTCAAAAGCGTGCGTAAGTATAGAAACCAATTGACACCAAACGAAAACGAAAACAATAACATTACATGCCAGTCCAAACGGAGACCAGAAAGCGGCTTACAAACTACACGAAACAATAGTCAAGTAGGTGGCAACAAGTATCCATTCCGATTCGATATGCCCATATATGTACGTACATTGTACATATGTATGTATCTAGTATGCACATATATTGGACACTGTTATCGTACAACATTGATAGAAAAAACACTAGACAGATATTTAGGCTAATTAATTATTCTCAGGTGTCTCCAGTGTGGTTCTACGAATGCCGCCGATCTGCATGCAGTGCGTTCAATAACTAAAAGTCAGGAACTTTACTGGCTACTGGCTACTCCAGCTGAGTTCACTTTTTATAGTTGTGGAACGCACTGTACTGTATGTAGTATTGGTGTTCTATTGCTATAAGAAGCATAAACATAAAATTCTTACAGCAACCGTCGATCCATTCTTGCCACAGCCCTGGGTCAAAATGCATTTTGCGTAACGCAGCGCCAAGAGCAAATCTATCCCACAGGCCAGATACAGTGGCAGAATACGCGTTTCACAGTCGACGTTCGGTAGCTGCCAATTGCAAAATGTATGGAAATATTTTTTTTTTTTTTGATTTGCAATTGATTGATTTGATTGCGTGAGGAAGAGAAAAGTGACGCGCATTAGCTTATGATTTCAAATTACGAACAAATAAAACCATTTTCCAGAAGTCTTTTGAGAATACATTTTAAATAAACCAAAAGGGAGGGTCTAATTATACAATTATCTAATAAGTTTCAAATCAACAAAATCTAACATTTTTAAGCTGTAAAATTCAAGTGTTGTCTCATAAGTTTCAAAGCTATCTACATACTGTATCTAAATGAACAATAGATATTCATAGTTTCATTGCATCGTACGGTTTTGTTTTTTTTTTTGCAAAATATAATGTAAAAAAAAAAAAAATCCTGAATAAAATATGATTAAAATGATCAATTGTAAAAACTATTTGTACCAAAGCCAGCAGCATGCTAGAAATGCCATCCAATGATAAAACCATGACATGTTAGTCGATATGAGGAGAAATAATAATGTTAGCTATTCAACTGTCGATCGGAGCCGTCGAGCCCCAGCACCCCACCAAATGGGCCACTAACCGGCAAGCCAATCCAAACCCAAGTCAAAGGAAAATGCAGAATGGCAGAGTTAGTATTAGATAAACCAAACACAGATCAACGTAGGAATTAGAATTAGATAGATGGTTTTTAGTTTGTTTGTTATGGCTGTTAATAATTTTTTTTTTGGGATTGTTTAATTGTTCGTCTCTCGTATGGTAGGAGAGAGAGGGGGGATAGGGTGCAATGCTTACAGCAACTGAGGAGCCGTTTTTGCCACTGCCGCCTTGAGTAAACATTTTTAAGAAATTGATTATATTCAAGGTATAACCGAATGTGATAAATACTAATATTGTGTAATTCCATGAAACGCCCACGATTGGTATCTAGTAAAGATGAAAGATTGCAAGAAAACATAATAAAGTTAAGAGGATTCGTCAACAGCATTCAAAGGATGAGCATAAATTTGGAAAAGAAATGTTTTGCATTATGTTATGGTTAGGAAAAACTGAAAAAACCTTATTGGCAGAGTGTTCACAGCCGTCAGCCAGTCAGTTCCATGGTACTGTGACTTTGACTGTGACTGTGAATACCCTCTCCACCTGTCTTACAAAATACTCTTAAAGATAATACATACATGTAGGAAATATAGTATAGATTGCAGATTTAGACTCCTGTTGTTAAGGGTAGGAGTGGAGTATATCCAAAACCAAGACAGAATATAGACGTACGATTATGGTATACGAGGACTATAATGACTCTATATATATGTACATATATCAGAGCTGGACAAATGGACAGGGCAAATACATGTACATTAAATTTGAGTAAACAAAAGAAACACTAATAGAGTTAAACTTAAAACTTGCATTTAGCAGCCTCCCAGAGTTATAGTGGGTGTATTTTTGTCGTATGTGTTCAAGGCATGCTCACGTATAGATTTTCGATTACATATATGGAATATATTTTTTAATTTGGTATCATTCACTTGAAGCGCAAGGCAGGAATTGCAGCACCATCGTCGAATAAACCAAAGTAAAGTACACAAGAACAAGAAAATAACAACGGCACAAAATAAGGTAGGCAAGCAATTTGAGGGAAATAGAGAGCGGGGGATTGGTTGGTTGGGGGATTTAGAAAGGACCTCACGCCACGCACCTTCTTCCAGACTCGACTGCCTGCGCCTGTCAGCATTTACATATACAGAGAGGGGAGAACACCCTTCGAGAATGGGGGTTCACATTCATATTCAGATCAATTCAATTCAATTCAGAGAAGCCAAAACAGTTTTTGTTGAGTATACGAATGTGTGTGTGTGTGTGTGTTGGGTAAGATCGTTCAATTTGGTTCTTTTAGTTCATTAGTTCAATTTTAGCCTCTAATTTATTTGTAGTTAATTCTAAAAATGCATTTTAATTTTTCTTGGTACAGAAACGATCTTTCCCAACATTAGTATGTGGTAGGTGGTAGTAGTAGTGTTCGTGTGTGTGTGTGTTTCAAGACTTACAGCAACTGTGGAGCCATTCTTGCCAACACCACCGGCTTTAATGACCGAAAATACATAAGTTAGGGAGAGCAGACCGCACACAATGGTCGTTATGGCCGGACCATACCAAAGCTGAATGTCGCCAATGCCGATCTGCATATGCGTATAGGTATAGGTATCGTTATACATGTGTTAAACGTGCGTGTGTTTGTGTGCGCAGTGCGTTTGTTGGCAGTTTGGTTTTTAGAGAGCGCGGGGGAAGACAACACACATTATGTACATAGAAGTAAAAGTGGTTAGCCGATTACAAATACTGGATATGGTTTGGTTGCTTAAATAACTGGGCGCCTAATAGTATGGGATA